AGTACATAGCTAAAGTTCTCCCATGTGCCTTTCTAGAGGTAACTTTTCTGAAAATGGTGTGGAGCATTCCTTTTTTTATTTGTATTATGCATAAACCTATAAAAGATACTGACTTTTCATGGTTTTAAAAATTTACACAAGATGGTGGTATTGTAGCTATTGTTGTTTGTTCTTATTTTATTTTAAAAAGTACATAGCTAAAGTTCTCCCATGTGCCTTTCTAGAGGTAACTTTTCTGAAAATGGTGTGGAGCATTCCTTTTTTTATTTGTATTATGCATAAACCTATAAAAGATACTGACTTTTCATGGTTTTAAAAATTTACACAAGATGGTGGTATTGTAGCTATTGTTGTTTGTTCATTTTTTGGTCTTAAGACAGGGTCTCCTAGTGTAGCCCAGGCTGGCCTAGAACTCAAGCTCCTCTTCTTTAGCTTCCTGGGTGCTAGGATTATAGGCATGTACTACCATTCCTACTGACTTCTGATTGATTCTCCTGTTTCACTTCCCATCTCCTTGTAGGAGCGCTGGGATTACAGGTGCATGCTATTGCATCACTTTGGGATTTTTACATGAGTTTTAATGATCCAAACTCAGGTTGTCAGGCTTATACGTAGAGCACTTTTTACTCACTGAACCTCTCCCCAGCCTCTGATAGTTTTTTTTAAAAAAAGATTTTTTTTGACTTATCCGTGTTAATTCTTGTATGTCTTGTTTATCTATTTTTAATTACTGAATCATGTTCCATTTCATGACTCAGCTATAGTTTGTCCACTATTAAAAACAATGCTATTTTGGCCACCCTCATTTGCTCTTTCATTGACCAAATTAGTGAAAACCAAAAACTGAAATTGCAGTATAATGGCTCTGGGTTTGTAGATAAGTATATCTTTAGCTTTGCTGGGTCTCTGAGGTAGCTTTACTAATTAAAATTTTTTTATTTTTATTTTATGTATATATGAGTATTTTGCCTGCATTATGTAAGTGCACTACATGCATGCAATTCCCACAGAGATTGGAAGAGGGTGTCTAATTCCCTGGAACTGGAGTTACCACAAACCATTGTGTAAGTGCTGGGAACTGAACTTGGATCTTCTACAAGAGCAACAGATGTTCTTAACTACTGAGCCATCTTTTCAGCCCCAGCTTTACTAATTAGCACATACCCACTGGTAGTGTTGTATAAAGTTTGTTTTTCTACATCATTGCTAACACTTTCTATCACTTACTTGTTTTTACATCTATGGGATTAAGTTGTTTAGCTAACTTTTTTTGTAATTTGTGTCTTTTTAAATTGCATTTATGGGGCTGGAGAAATGGCTCATCAGTTAAGAGCACTGACTGCTCTTGCAGAGGACCTGGGTTCAGCTCCCGGCACCCACATGGCAGCTAACAACTGCCTGTAACTCTAGTTCCAGGGGATTCGACACCCTCTTCTGACCTCCTCAGGCATTGCATGACATGGGTGCACTTACATACATGCAGGCAATACACTCATACACATAAAATAAAAATAATAAATTGCATTTAATTCATTATGTGTGTGCATATGCATGTGCCACGGCATGCACATGGAGGTTAGAGAACGACTTGGAGGAATTCGTTCAATCTCTGAGACCCATCTGGTGCTCCTACCCACTGAGTTGCCCTCCTCAGCCCAATTTGTGTCTTCTTGATTATTAATGACACTAAGGGATGCTAGGTATCTTAGTTTCTTTTTCTGTGGTGTGATAAAATGCTCCAACAAAAGTAGCTTATGGGAGAAAAGGTTTTAGCACATCCTTCCAGTTACAGTCCATAATGTCAGAGAAGTCAAGGAATCAGGAACTTGAAGCAAGTAGTCATACCACAGTCAGAACAGAGAGAGAATGCATGGTTGTACTCAACTGGCTTTCTCTACTCTTGCACAGCTCATGACCTCAAACCCAGGGAAGGGGGATATATCCTCTCACATTAATTAACATAATTCAGATAATCACCCACAAATATCACAGGCCAATCTGGTTTGATAGTCCCTCCTTGAGACTCTCTTCCCAGGTGATTTTAGATTGTGTCAAATTGACAAACCTAAGCTCAGTCTGGCATGGTCATGCATGCCTTTATTCCCAGTGTTTGGGAGGCAGAGACAGAGGCAGGTGGATTTCTTTGTGAATTCCAGGCCAGCCAGGCCTACATATATGACTCTGTTTCAGAAAACCAAAACTAAGCCTCACATTGGCAAAAAGGATATTGGTCTGTAGTTTTCTTTTGATGCCTATTCTATGTCCGGTTTTAGTATTAGGGTAATACTGGCCTCATAGCTTAAGTTTGGAAGTGTTCCCTCGTTCCAGTTTTTAAAAACATTTATGAAGGATTGGCATTCTGTAAACATTTGGTAGAATTCACTTGTGATGTCATCTAGTTATGGCCTTTGTGGGAAGTTTATTATTAGTTTATT